GTCGTAGACATCTACGATAATTCGACAAACATGTTTCAGACAAAAGTTACTTTTCTTCAACGTAGCATCATTATGCAATAAAACATGGGGATTTCCCTTGAAGAAAACGATTTAACCAATTTTCGCCGAATGCAGCGCCATCTATCAGGAATCGAAAAAAAGGTTTAGACAAAATTTACGTGTTTTTGAACGTAGAATTCGACTCTGCAATAAAAAGTAGGGGTTCCCATTTAAGATTTTAAAGTTGTCCCCCGCCCCACCCACAGGGGTGGGGGTGGGGGGTCAATTTTGGTATCATTCGATAGCTCTTTCAAAAATAGGAAATACGTATTTTTCCGTTTTCCGATTCACCCACAATTTCTCGGGATATTTAACCGTTCCTGGACTTTTAGACCACCCTGTATATTTTTCGCTTAACAAACCGTGTGCTATTATTATATGTAATTAAATTTAATCATGTATATAATTAAACTTAATTACGTATAATGACATACAGTTTGTTAAGCGAAAAATATATGTATATTAACACAAAAAATATTATTACGCACAAAATATTTAGTCCAACAGTATATTGATACATTTTCTATTTACTTATTTGTTATAATTAGACGTACATGGCTTACTTAGATAGATATATTTATTGACCCTGCGGGGTACAAAACGGACCTCCGCTCCGTTCACAAAACATGAAAACTTATATTTCGCTCGCCTTTACGCTCGCCTTTAAGAGAGAGAGAGAGACATCCTTCTCCATTCATCCTTCCATCCCTCTCCATTCATTCCTTCCTTTCTCATCTGGACCTCCGTTTCCGCCGCATCTTCATTTCTTTCTATATTACTCTCATTTATTCCTTCCACTTCTCTTTCTCCTCTCCATTCCTCTATTCTTCTCAGCCACTTCTCTCCTTCCCCTCCCTCTCCTAGCACTACTTCTACCATATCTTTCCATCCCTTTTCCTTCCCCCAATCCGTACACTCCTCCCACACGTGTTCCCATGTTTCCTCCCTCCATTGGCATACCCTCCATTTCTTTTTCTCCTCTCCTTCCCAATACCTTCCTCCTCTCATCTCTTCTCCTAGTCTAAACCTCGCTAACCTTTGCCATCTTTCCTCTTTCCATCCCTTTTTTAGATATTCTGGTATCCCTTTTCCTTTTATTCTTTTATACCTTACATTTGTCCTTGATCTCTCTATTTTTCCCCATCTTTCCTCTTCTTGCCACCTCTTTTCTCTTCTCACCAAATCCTCTCCCCTCAGTTCCCCTTCATCTCTTAACTTCTCTACCTCCTCTATTTTCCATCCTTTTTCTTCGTAAAAATCTCTCCTCTCCCCTTCCCACTCTCCTGTCGCTTCCCCCTCCTTCAGCCTACTTCTCCACTCCTCCCAGCACCATTTTGCTATTTCCCCTCCTCTTCCTTCCCCCAGTTTCCTTTCGAAACCTCAAGCCCTCATCCTCGCCCCCCTCATTTTTTCTCTCCCCCAATTCCTCCCTTACCATATATCCTGGTGATCTCCAGCTCACTCCCGTTATCCATTTTAAGTATCTATCCTGTATTCTTTCTATCTCCTCCCTCTCTCTCCATCCCCATATCTCTATACCGTAGCTTATGACTGTCCATACCAACCTATTGAACAGCCATAGCCTTCTCGACCAATCATCTTTGAATCTCCTTTTCCCTATTCCCCTTTACCTCTCTCATCACTACCGCTCCCTTCTTTACCCTCTCCCTTACATGTTCCTTGCTCCTTCCGTTTGCCATCACTACGTCCCCTAGATATTTAAACTTTCTAACTTCCTCTAGTTCTTTTTCTCTTCATTTCCAATCCACCTTCTTCCATCTCCCGCCTCCTTTTCTACATCTCATTATCTTTGTCTTCTCTACGTTTACTTCTAGTCCTTTCTCCTCCATATATTCTTCTAGTTCTTTTATCATCCTTTTCATTCCTGTTTCGTTCTCCGCCACTACTGCCACATCATCCGCATATGCTAGAGTTCATATCTTTCTTCTTCCCACTCTTATTTCTCTCCAGCCTTCTTCCTCCAATACCTCATCCATGTCTGCCAACATCAAGGTAAACAGACACGGGCTTAGCGGGCATCCCTGTTTTACTCCCCTTTCTGTCCAAAATTTCTTCCCCTCTTTATCCTCCACCTTCACCCTACATACCGTTTCCTTCAATATTTCTTCGCATCTTTCTATCAACCCCTCTTTTATTCCTTTTTCCTCATGCACTCTATCAATTTCCCTCTATTCACCGAGTCAAAGGCTGCCTTTAGATCTAAGAACATCACCACTATCCCTCCATTCTTCTCTGCTATCTTTCTGTTTATCATATAGTTCAAACTATATATCTGATCAATCGTTCCCCTTCCCTTCCTAAATCCCGCTTGACTTGGCGGTAGTATCCCTTTACTTTCTATTTCTTCCCTCAGCCTATCTGCAAGTACCATTGCGTATATCTTATATGCCGTTTGCGTTAATGTTATCCCTCTATAATCTTCTACTCTTTTCCCTTTTCCTTTTTTCCATACCGAAACTACTACCCCCTCCCTCCATTCCTCCGGCCATCCTTCCCCCTCCACACCCTTTTACATAGTCTCCACATCCAATTTCTCACCTCTTCTCCTCCATATTTCCATACCTCGTTCGCAATCCCATCCC